TTCTTCTCACCACATAAGCAGAGGTGGCGGTTTAAGATTGCAAAATCTGCCCTCCCAAAGGAAGAAAAGTGAGATGGTATTACCATGAGACAGTGTAAAAGAATTTCTGATCTAGGGGGATGTGATGTTAAATAAACAATGGCGGGACTTCTCCCTGAAGTGAAGTTAGTGAAGCTTGGCTAAAATACAAGTAGTCCTTGACTTATCACAATTGAGTCTGGAATTTTGATTGTCCATTGTCATGACCGTTAAGCAAGACACCCACATGGCTGTCTCACTCAATCACCACGATCCTAGCACTCCCCATGCCTCAAGAGGTGGGGGAGGCCTTGGCAGTCTTGATAGCCACAGGATATGGAAATCTGCCAGTAGTATGCTGGCCTCCCCACCACCACTCCTGAAAAGCCTGGCCTTCTCCCTCCCCTCTGGCCTTCTCTCTATCCCACCACACCCAAGTCCACTTACCTTTCCCTGCTGCTGCTGACAGATGCACCCAGCCAATGCAAAGCTCAATTAGAAAGCTAATAAATACAGTTTTCATCAAGACTAGAGAAGCAATCTTTTTCAAGGCTGGCTAGGAAAAGGAACTTTACTAGCTTTCCACAGCACTGCAGCAGAATACTTAACATTATTAAATATTAGTATTATTAATTGATACTAGGCAGAAATATTAATACAAGGCAGAAGGTAGGCAGAAAATTGGATGGATGATGGAAAACAGGAGTGTCCTACCTTACAGAGTAAACATTATGATGCGCACAGAGTCCCATTTGACATCTTTAAAGTAATTGGCAAGTGCACTCACAATTGGCTCCTGTATTGGATATGGTGAGTCTCAATATACCAATTTATCAGAAAGCTTTCCACTAGACTGGTGCAAATCTTTCACAGGGTACTTCATGTCAGCAATGCTTCCAAATTATCCCTTGAAGATGTTTTGCTTGGGCTTGCAGATACAATATCTAGAATCAGTTTCTATGCTTTCTAAGCCTTGGGGCAGGATGGTCTTCTAGTCAGTGACTTTTGTACAAGTTGCAGCTGAACAAGTCACTTCCGGATGTCGGCCTGAAGCCATTTGAGGCTTCAGAGTGATACAGAGCACCATATTGAGGAGACCCACATGGCTTCTTTATCCTGAGAGGGAAAATTTCATCATTTCTGCCATGTAAAATGGGTTAATGAGAAAAGTGAAGCTGGTTGGTTTACCTTCTGCTCTGGTATCCTCTTGGGACCTTTGTGGAGCTCAAAGCCATTCTATAAATAAATACAATATCATATTTTTTTTCCTTTGTTTTTATTTTTGTTTTGTTTTGTTGCTTTTTTTCTGTATTTTACTTTGTGAACCTTGCAGAGTTGTTGGGATTTAATCTGCACATTTAATCAACATATGCATAAGTAAATGACTGGTGCTTTACTTTGCCTGCCTGCTTTCCATCCATCCATCCATCCATCCATCCATCCATCCATCCATCCATCCATCCATCCATCCATCCATCCATAGGGCAACTAGGAAAGAATGTGTCCAGGAATACCTTAGCAGTGGTAGGTACGTTATTGCCTACCCACCCACTAGAGCAGGGGTGTCAAACTCGTGGCGCACGGCAGCATCACATGACATATTGCGACTTTTCCCCCCTTTGCTAAACCGGGCGTGGGTGTGGCCAGCATGTGATGCATCAGACCCGCAGGCCGCACATTTGACACCCCTGCACTAGAGTGTAAACATGTTTGTTATCTGTTTCAAAGAATTACTAATCTTGACTTCCTAAGTAATTTGTCTTTCAACACCATAAATGGTGGAAGTTGTATCAGCCACCCTTCCCTTGGTGTCTGTGCTTCTGCTCTTGAGATATGAGTTTCTTCAGATATAGAGAATTTTTCCTCAACTTTTATTTTTTATTTTTGGCAAGGGAAAGGAGATTTCCTTTTCCCCTCACCCTAGCTTTTACTTTTCAATTTTCTTTTGCACCTGAGAAGGAGACTGACGCTCCTTTCAGAAGACACACAAATAGCTAAGGGGGCCAAAAGAGGCAGTCTATCTTTTCTTATTTTTCCTTTCTCTCTCTCTCCCACTTTCAAGGTCACCATATGTCATGATACAAAGCATCTTGAACATGGACGAGGCTGGGATTTTCTAGTTGGGCTGTTTCAGGCCTTTGTTGCTGGTTTAAGACAGGTTTTCAGTGTTTTCTACCATAAAATGATTTTTTTTAAAAGTGCCAGCTATGTTTTAGCACACCACATTCTGTACACGTGCTCCCCATTTTTAAATTATGGAGGATGCTAGATTAAGAAAATGCTCTGGATTTTTTTTGGTCTCTGGTTAGATATGTACAATATGCTGATTTTTTTTAAAAGTGCCATTGATTTTCAGCAACTATCAACCTTTTATCCTATTTAACAGGAACAGGTTGTTACCTAGCATTTTGCTTTCCTACCCATGGTTTTCCTCCCCACTCCTCCTCCCCTTGTTCCATTTGTATCCGTTCTGGAGGAGATGTTTTAATTGGGGGACTGGTTGCTTGCATGAGGAAAATGCAGCCCTTGGCACAAGAACAAGCAAGCTAGTGGTCTGCAATATAAAAGTATGAATCATAGCATTGATTTAGCTTAGGCTGCGCAGGCTGGAAGTAATCCGAAAAGAGACCTTTGTGTCCTTTTTACTCCCACAGCATATGGACAACCATGCATAATCAGATATGGTCCCTCTGTGAATGTTTGTGTTTAATAAAACATTGATAGAGATCTTTGCTCTTTCCAAATGTCACATTATTATAATTTAAGCAAGGTAAAGTAGTCTAAATTCCAGATATCGTCTTGTTTGGATACAAAAAGCTTCAGTTTTATTTCTTAATGAAAATCTGTAAGTCTGCCTTTTTTTTTTTCCTCTTAAGAGTCGGATGAAAAAAAATAAAATCAAGAAAGAATAAGCGGCAGGAATGGGTGCTTCAGATCAGGAAAATATAGCTCTTGGAAGTAATTGTGGATTGTGGGATTGAGAAAAATAGGTCCCAAGAATATGGCTGATGTGAGACATTAGCTGTGAAGCAAAAATACAGATTTACATAGGCAAATTGTGTTTTTTGAGGGCTAATTTAACACACAAATGTCTACCTGTTGATGTCCCAAGCTTTAATATCTTAGTAGTCTGATACCCAACTATGGAAAGGAATTCAGTGCTGAAATTGCCACCAGATTATGCTTAATATGGCCTTAATTCTCAAGTCATAGTAAGTGATCAGAAACATCTGTTTCTATCTCTGATGAAATATATACATGTGAATTTATCCTTAAATATCTATTCACCTTGTGATGGATTAAAATTAAAGTCTAGCTTTATAATACAGCAATTTCTAGCCAAATAGTTTTAGAGAGTAATACAGGTGAAAGCTGAAAGCTAAAATTGGGTTCTGTAAAGATGCCACTTAATTTGTGTATAATAGGTCCAATAATTATTTCAGTGCTCACTTTGTCTCGGCATAAAGCTATTTCCATTAATAAAACATGGCAACATAATTCCCTGGACCTTACAGATTGTCCCCTGTACATTGTATTTACCTTCCTTTTTCCATTCTTGATCCTTAGGCTATTCATCTTGAGAATGTGAGTTGACTGAGGGGTAGCTTTTGAATTATTTAAGATGTGTACCGAGGCACACAAATACTTTCTTTAAAAGTGCTTAAATCTTTACAGCAAGGCTATATGGACAAAAATTGCAGTAAAATGTTTAAAAATGATCCTTCGCCCTAGTTACATATTTTTTTTAAAAAAAGTAAAAATAGTGTAAACTACATCATCAGTTTAGCCAACAATCTGGATTTATTCCAAACAAGATAAAAAGTTTTTTTTTTTTTTAAGGACAGCAATTTTCTCAGCATTTTGTGGTGAGTGCCTCTTCCCTAAAAGGATAGAATAGAAATGTCAGGAGGCTTAAGACAAATAAAAGTGGAATTACAATTGAAATAATTCAAATGCAGTTCTTCATAATTTATTCCCATATGGTTATTATAATATTAATGACAACTGATGTGTTTTTTATTCATTTCTTTCATATTAAACATCATTCAGTAGCAACTATTTGGAGGATCTCTGGAGTCATGTTCAAAGATCCATTTCAAGGCCCTAGACCAAGAGTCTTCAAACTTGGCAACTTTAAGACTTGTGGACTTCAACTCCAAGAATTCTCCAGCCAGCATAGAGAATTCTTAGAGTTGAAGTCCACAAGTCTTAAAGTTGCCATGTTTTGGGATCCCTGCCCTAGACTGTGAGTTTCTAAGTTCAACAGAGCTCACAACAAAGATGAATATTTCCATGGCCTTTGTAAAGAAAAAAAAAATTAGAACATCTGTTTTAGGAAGACAGGTGCTTGAACTCAAAAACAAACCAGCAGAAAAGCTGTGTCCTTCACCATTCTCACCTTGAATGGACCTGTTATCAGTGAACTATGCACTCTCATAGGGAAGTAAGCAGTTCATAGACGACCTAATTCTAAGCTCTTCTAGTGCTTTAGCAGTAAAAATGTAGCACTTTGAATTGTGTATTTTTCGCCAGGCAAAACTTCCAAAACTACTTTCAAAAGCTGTTCTATTTTTCCCCTCTCTGCATCACTGTAGGAAAATATATATTATGATGTATATTCTAACTTTTCCAATGTATCATGATTTATGTGCTGATTAGATTGTTTTTCCTCCAGGGAATCTGGGTACCATATAAGAACTTCTTCCTCCATTTTTCCCCCCTATAATAGCAAATCACGTAAAGAAAGAAGGGCAATCTTGCAAAGTAGATTGGACAGAACAATCATATTTGACCTGAAGTCATCTAAGTGAGCTTCCATGGTTGAGTGGTCTCCCAATCCTAGCCCAATTTTATATATTTTAACTGCCACATCAGACTATTGAAAGCTTGACAGGAAGTAAATCCTTTGAAATTCAATGTATAGTCCAGAAGCATATTATTTGGAACTAACCTCTCAGATTTAATGATTTATATTATTGTAGATTATGCAAAATGGTGAGCAGTCACAAGAGGGAGAAGAGGCTATTAAAGTAAACCCCAGGGAAGGAAGAGAACAGACAGCAGAACTTTTTCACCCTGACAGAAAAGTGATGGAAGGTCACGGGCCACGGGAATTAAATATTCAGGAAAAGCAAGAGGCAGGAGAAGATGAGGAACAACATGCAGAGCAAGATGAAGAAGAGCAGAAAAAAGAATTAGAAGAAGAAGAAATGGAGCAAGCTGGGCAACCGGAACACTTAACAGATGATCTCGATCAAGTTCCAGAAGAGCATGAATGGAAGGACAAAGAACAGACTGACGAGGAAACCAACATGGTTGGAGAACACAACCATTCACAGGTGGGCCCACTTTTCCTCCCGAGAATATTTGCATGTCTTTCTCAAGTCAAGTTTGACTCTTGGTGAACCTCTTCATATTTTTCATGGACGCCTTCATTATTGTTTCTGTGGCAACAATGGAAAATGGTTTGCCGTCTTTTTTTTAACTTTCCATTCTAGCTTATGACCTTACGACTTCTTGTGCTTTCCCATCTGAGTACTAACCAGGTCTGATTCTGTTTAGCAATTTTGAGATTGGCCAAGGCTGTGAATCAGGTTAGACAACCTGATCTGAAAACCTGAATCTGAGAACCATTTTCAGGTTTATTTAGAAGTCAATCCCATTGTATTTAATTGGAATCAATCGGCTACCTTTGATATATTAAGACACACTTGTTGAGAATTTTAGGTTATCATTGCTTGGCAGCAACCTCTGGGTGCCTCCTGCCATTGAATTCATTTGTAATTAATGGGGAAGAAAAGGCTGTTGGGTTATAGACTAACTTGGGCTTCATTGCATTCCTAACAAAAAGGCAGGTGTAATGGTGTGAGGGAATGACCTTGGGAGGCAGGAGAAGATCTGCAGCCAGGGAACATTCAGATAAGAGGCAGCTTAGCTCACAACAGGAATGTGGTTATGGCAAATATCTCAGAAAGGACTTTTCCATGTTTCTTGGGTTGAAAAGGCGATGTGGAAGAAATGTATTTTCAGACTGGCAAGATTAATGCTTGCCCTAATCCAGAAAAAAGCATGCCCAGTTCAATTAATTCTTCTTTATTGCAAGGCTACATTAACAGAGTCTTGTTAGTCTGAAAGGTAGATTTTTCTACTTGCAGATTTATCTTTATGAATCCAGACTGCTCTTTCCTCCACCTTGGTGTAACTTAATAATTTGGCAAATCCTTTCACTTTAAATATGATATGCATCCAGCAGGCAGAATCCCAGAGGTACAGTTTATGCAGGTCACATTTTGTACAGAACTATAAATAGAAGTGTCAAGAAATGCTTCTACTTTCTAGGTCATATCTTGGGGCACCAAAATATACTTTTTCGTTTGTTTCAACTAATTTTCAAATTGAAGCATACANTGCCTTTACTCACATATGAACTTACTGTAAGTGACCTCTCATTCCTAATCCATAGGGTTCAATATGACGTCGGTCCACCCTTTGCAGCTGTAACAGCTTTAACTCTTCTGGGAAGGCTGTCCACAAGGCTTAGGAGTGTGTTTATGGGAATTTTTGACCATTCTTCCAGAAGCGCATTTGTGAGGTCACACACTGATGTTGGATGGGTTTACGTGGCCTACCACATCGTGGCTGAGTTGCTGTCGTTCCCAAACAATTCCACGTTCTTATGATACAGCTGACAGTTGACTCTGGAACATTTAGGAGCGAGGAAATTTCACGACTGGATTTTTTGCACAAGTGGCATCCTATCACAGTTCCTCACTGGAATTCACTGAGCTCCTGAGAGCGACCCATTCTTTCACAAATGTTTGTAAAAACAGTATGCATGCCTAGGTACTTGATTTTATATACCTATGGCCATGGAAGTGATTGGAACACCTGATTCTGATTATTTGGATAGGTGAGTGAATACTTTTGGCAATATAGTGTAATTCATTATAATACAAACATTGATATTTATATGATAGGAAGAATTGCCTTCCCCCCACCCTCATGTATCTTTACTATAAAGAAATATATGTTCACTGGGAATATGGTCAAATGATCTTTTTTCTGTCATTTCAAGAGAAGTATCAATTTTCTTAAATTCAAAATAATTTTCCTTTTGGGTAAATATTGTAATTTATCTTATGTCTGTAAAGAACTGATGCCTTATGCACACAGTAATAGTTATATTGGCTTATTTTATATAAACATCTGCCATTCATATCTGCCAAAAGCGAACTTTAGGAATTAATTGCTGCCATTTAAATTTAGGTCAACATGTAACATACAAGTTACTTTATGTTCTTCTGTAACTTGCTGGAGCTGAGTTAGAAATGTGAAACATTGTAGGAGGTTGAATATGAGAAGTATATGCAGCGGTATTCTCAGAAGAAAAGAGATTCAGATTTTATTTCCCCATAGTACTTAGCATAGAAATGCAAATCTCCTATTATCCTGTCAGCTTTAGCAATATTTTTTTCAGAGTAATAATAACTGCTTTGGGTTTATTTAGTTACATTGTTTCCAATACTTGCTCCACTTGTAATGGAAAGATCATATTCTTCATTACTTTCCAAATTGTAAATGTTGTTCTTGGTTCTATTTGAAATATAGATGTCAACTTGTTGGTATATTTAAATTCAAGGGCTGGAAAAAATATTGCTAAAGCTGACAGGATAATAGGAGATTTGCATTTCTATGCTAAGTACTATGGGGA